TCCTCCTGTGCCGTGGTTCTCCTTTCCCATTACAAACTAACAGGTTAGGTCTACGTAATCTAATCTGTCTTCTAGTTCTCAAATAAGGATGACCAATCAACCAAGTTGCCTAGAACTAAGAGGCTTCCTAGGATTTGTGACTTTCAGTGCTACAAAGTCCTGGATTCACTAGCACCATCAAAGCAATGAAAGGGTAATTTTCATAACTTCTGAGAAGTAATACACAACCACACATGGTAAATTTTTTTCAACTTGAGATCAACCAGAATGTTCTTAGTCTATAGCTGGACACAACTACTTAGAGCATCTTAACAGTTATTTTTATAAAATTTCACAAAGTATATTCAGAATATCTGGAGAGAAAAATATACCTTTATCAGTGGAGCTGCTGTTGCAATGGCAGCAGCAGTTGCTGCAGCTACAGTTGTAGCAGAATCAATGGCACTGGGTGAAGTTCTGGCCTCCTGTGTAACAGTATTCTCTTCTCTGCCAGCATCTTCCAAAAGATGTACCTTTACTTCCTTAAAGATAGGCATGCTTCGCGCTCTATCAATAAAAAAGGAATAAAATATATTCAATAAGCTATGCTGAACCACTTCAAGAAATACCTGTAAGTGGTCATCTGCTGAAGGTAATTTTCTTGATTTTTAAAAATTAAATCACCTGCCAAGTATGGTGGCACACTCCTGTAATCCCAGTGATTTGGAAGGTTAAGACAGGAGGATCACAAATTCCAGGTCAGCCTCAGCAACTTAGCAAAGCAGCACTGGGCAACATAGCAAGACCCTATCTCTAAATAAAAAGAATTAAAAGGGTTGGGGATATGGCTCAGTGGTAAGTACCCCCTGGGTTTAATCACCACTACCAAAAAATTTTTTTTAAAAAAGTGTGAAAAAAAAGACCACAAAAAGAGGGAAAAATAACTAAGCAATACTTTAAGCTAGAACATACATACTCTGGTCCACCTGGCAAGCAAATCATGATTTAAAAACTAACACTGTTACAATCTAATGAACTACTACAATTAGCAATGAAAATTAACTTGGATATGCAAGTGATTAAAAAAAATCGTGAAATGTATACTGGCTTTCTTATAGATACCTGAATATCTATTTGTTGCTGTTGTAATTTTTCAAGATGCTTAATTTGCTGCTCCATAAATACATTCATTCGCTTCTCATGATCATGACAATGTAATTTCTCTTCTTTATTCTGAATGCTTGCTTGCTGTTCTGTAACACGTTGTAAGTGTTTATCCGTCTCCTGTAACTTATTAAGTAATTCTGTAACAGAATTAACTTTTGCTTCCAAATCACTCTGCACCTAAAAGGATAAAAATTACAAAATAATTTTTTATATTATAATACAGAAAAACAATAAAATATGGTCAATTACAAAGAAGGTTATTTATAGCAAGTGATTTGAGAAATTGTCAAAGTAGAACCTTTACTCACTGTATCTCTGATGATTTGATGCCTTTATTTTTAGTCACAAAAGTAAAAGGCAGGAAAAAAATTAAAAAGTAAAGGGTAGGAGATCATAATCTTTAGATCTGTTTCCTCTCATTAAAAAAAA